TAAGTAATTAAAATAGAGATGTTAGCCAGGTGATGTGTTGTAACTGCATGATGTGAGAGCTGGTGGACCCCATTGTGGTTCATAGTGACCACATCTGTAGCAAATGCTGGTTTCTTGAGGAACTCTAGCTCAGAGTTAATGAGCTGGAGTCTAAGCTTCCAACACTGCCACACATCAGGGAGGGGGAGTGTTACCTGAATGCTGTGCTTCAGGAGGCATTCACACCCCTTAGATTAATTACCTCAAATCCAATCAGTGGTCAGCGACAGGAGGGTGTGACTATAAGCGGTCCAGGAGGTAGTACTGAACAAGCCTCAGCCCCTCAGTCTCTCTGAAAGGTTTGAGATTCTTGCTCCACGTGTGGCTGACAGTGGGGGGCTGTACGGAGGGTGAGCAAACTAACCACAGCACTGTGGTACAGGGAGCCAGGCAAGAGAGGAGAGAAAAGAAAAATGTAGTTGTAATCGGGGATTGTATAGTCAGGGCAATAGACACTGTTCTCTGTGGTCAGGATTGAGAGTTGCAAATCCTGTGCTGCCTGCCTAGGTGCCCATGTTCACGATATCTCATCCGTGCTTCAGACAAACTTGGAGTGGGAAAGGAAAGAATCAGTTATCGTGATCCACATAGGTACCAGTGATATAGATTGAAAGAGGTTCTGATGAGGGAATGTGAGCAGCTAGGGGCTAAATTGAAAAGCAGAGCTGTAAAAGTAATAATCTCTAGATTACTACCTGTGGCACGAGCAAATTGACACAGGGACAATGAGATTAAACAGGTAAATATGTTGGTCAAAGATTAGTGTGGGAGAGACGGTTTTGAATTCATGGGACATTAGCACCTGTACTGGAGATGGAAGGAACAGTTCCAATGGAACAGATTCTACCTGAATCATGCTGGAACCAGAGTCCTCGTGAAGTGCATAACTGGGGCTGTCGGTCAGTCTTTAAGCTAAATATTAGGGATGTGTTCAGGTGCATGGAAAATTGCGGAAAACATTAAAGGGGGAGAGGGCTCAACAGAGTTTATTAAAGTTTCCAGAACAAGTAAAAGGGCACAGAGTATGGAAAGGGTCAGGTATCTAACTTCAGGAACAGCAGATAAGGGGACAACCTGGAGAAGGGGGACAGTCAACACAGGATTGAGGATGTTGTACTTAAATGCACACATTATACGAAACCAGGTAAATTGACTTATAGCACAGACTGAAATTGGCAGGAAAGCTACTGTAGGATGTATAGAGACGTGGCTGAAAGGGATAAGGGCTGGGAACCAAACATCCAAGGATACACATCCTAACAATAAGACAGGCAGATGGGCAGAGGGGTCAGGGTTGCCTTGTTTGTAAGAAATTCCACTTTCCCAATAACTCAACTGTATGAGAAATAATCAATTCTACTAATGAACATTACATCACTGCTTCCTAGATGCAATTTGAATGATCAGATTTGGTTTCTGTAACCTAAGTCTCATTTTCTGCATTCAGCTGCAATCATATGTCAACTATTTACCAAGAAATACTCTCCTTTCATTCCATTCCTAGCTCCTCATTCTCGATTGTGTTCAGTGCTTCACATTAAGTTCCATGTGGCTTATGAACTACTTCCTATTGAGTGGGGCCTCTCAGATGATGTTTGCACAGATAAGGTGGTGTGATGAAATTAGTATAAAAAGAACTGGCTGAAATAATGTCTCTCTGATGTTATTGGAGTGACTGGTTTCTGCCTCCAAGCTCTGTGATGTAAAATGTTCAGTTGTGCATAAAATTACGTTTCCCCTTGAAGAAATAATTGCTAATTGCTGGAACATTCTAACATATGGAGAAAGTACACAAAGCTGAGAGAGGAAATAATGAGCATTTGCCAATCTTGTCTTGCTAACTTGAATCTGTGTTGATGATATATAAAGCCTCCCTGTCCTATCCCGTATCTTCAAACTTTCCAATGATGGTGATCCTTCTCCAGTTCTATTTGCCATAAGCTGGTTACAAGATGCAGAATTGTTTGGTGGACAAAAATGTCTATTATCTTTACCTCCCAGCAAGGCGGACCTGTCCAGCTGAACTTATTGTCAGCCTACAAACTCGACTAAGAGATTTCTCATCATTAATGGACTTTAGTCAGCATTATTCACTGGAGATTGGGTCACATAATTAAATGTCCTCTTCACTAGGAATTTTCAGACCAGCAGAATTACCAAAGGATGCAATATCCTGCAGGTATATGATAGAAGAAACTGCTAAGTTAACCAATATCAACTCAAAAATTTTTAAATGTTTGCTTACCATCGCAGAAGGAGTTCGTTCAATTTACGAAAACCTTATCGAGATTGCATGAAGGCTTTCAGAGAAGGTTATCAGGTTCTCAAGATGCTTCATTTCTTTTGCATAATAAAATTCCACTTTATTGTTAAACCTGAACCTGCAGCATTGCATGATTGTGTTTTGGTGAAAGATCACCTCATTAAAACCAAGAAAAAAAATACGATGTGAACCATCAAGACAGAATACCATATGGGATCTCATTTGTTCAGTAATAACATCAGCTGGGATTACAATAATTCTAGCAATAATCATGTTGGTCCTTGTCTCTGTAGCCCAACAGAAACACAGGCTGTGAGATAGTAAGAACTGTAGGTACTGGAATCAGAGACAACACAGTATGGAGCTGGAGGAACACAGCAAGCCAGGCAGCATCAGAGCAGCAGGAAAGCTGATGTTTCAGATTGGGAACCTTCTTCTGAAATGGGCTGTATTTTCTTTTTAATTGTTAAACATTATGGAAGGGAAAGTTCTTGACAAATCTTAAGAACCATCTTTTCAAGAGGTTTGGGTCAGTGTAAACAGGTGCAAGGCTATCCTACAACTCCCTCTGCGTTACTATCTGAGGATTTGCTGCTGGCAAAATTTCAAATTTGCGTACTGCTCAGGATCTGCGTTAAATTTAGAGCTTGAATTATTTGATCAATTTGGTGATTTTCTTTATTAAAAGTTCTGCAACTGGTTAGCTTAGAGTTTTGCCTGAATTGTTGGCTGTGGCTTTGTTGAAAACATTTTTGCCTCTGTGTTAGGGGATGATAAGTTCAAGTGCCACACAGAGACTTGAGTGCAAATGCTGCAATGCTGTATTGCTGTTGGAGGTTTGTACTGTTATTAACGCAGCCTTTCAGATGAAACACCTGGCCTTTAAATGGGATCAGAAAGATCCTGGAGCACTATTTTGAAGAAGACCAGAAAACTTATCACCAATATTCTGCCACGTTTTTTTTATTTCTCAAAACAGATTATTTGTATGTGATCACATTTTTATTTATGCGACATTGCTGGGCCCTTGTTGACAGCCAGATTTCTTATATTATAATAGAGACAATGGGCAGAATCAAATAAGAAACATGGTGAAGGCCATCTCAATTTCACAAGCAGTGGAATGAGTTTCTTGTTGGGCAGCAGCAAGTTGCCAATTAAGGGGGATTATTGCTTTAAGCGCAGTTTTGATATCTCAACTTACTTTATTAATATTCAACTTTCCATTTTACCAAACTTGCGAAACAAGTTTGTTTGGACATTGAAAAATAACACACTGGGGGTACGTTATTGGAGATAGAATCATTGTGACTACTTGGAGAGAAGATAGTGGTATTTATGCTGGCAGCGTAGGGAAGGACAATCTTCCTGTAGTACTGGGCATTCTTCCAGATGCCGGTGACTGCTTTAACCTGAGCATCAACTTCAGACCAGGCTGGCGTGTTCCAGTGTGATGGAATCCACTGCCAGTTGTCAGGGAGCAGGAGGTTCCATGTTGACACCACCCATCCAGGAGAACCTCCAATTCTTCGCCTGCAAACCAATATATTGATTTTCTCTGTCTGCGTTGTCCAGGGCAAATGTCTGATTGTCTGAGTACATAATCGGCTCTTAAACATGGTAGAGTTACAAGGGATACCACAGAATTCCAAGATATCTGTTGAGTGCTGAGTTGGTCCTGGAACAGCATGCAATAAGATAGGGCTGAAATTGGACTTGAGGGACAATGTAGGAGCAGCGTATGTAGTTAATGAGATGAGTTTGGTTACATACAGTAAGAAATCTCACTAGACCATACAGCGAAAATCCCTCTGAAAATCTTGAAGCAACTCAGGCTCAGGCAAAAAAAAAGTAAGATTCAGCCGTATATTTCAAAAGTAGTCCGCTGTCTGCAAAAGTGCTTTGCTTTGGGATATTTTGAAGGTCACCAAGAGTTCACAGAGGATTATTGAATTCTTTATGGCAGTTTGTGAGCTGCTGAAGATTATACCAACTGCCTCTGCCAGCTTTCTGGAGACAGTCTGAATCACCTGCTGTGTGGCATCTTGCCTTCAAAACCCAATAGCATCTTAAATTCTGACTGCCCTCCCTTCCAACAATGATAAACCTTAGACAATCGATATGACTGCACCAAACACATTTGCGTTACAATGAGAGGTTTTAGCAGGAATTCCCAGTAGGTTGTCTTACTGTCACAAGGATGCATATTACTCCTACTTGCTCACTAACCTACCAATGGGAGGAGAATCCAGCTCAATTTTGTTTTAACCAACTGCCCCTTCCAGGAGTTTGTCAATTTGAAAATAGTGATAGAAACTGGATTTAAAGCCAACTGCCTGCTCAGTGAAAGCTTCCTTTGCAAGAGGTCATGATCAGCTCATTAGAATACCTACACTGTGGAAACAGGCCCTTCGGCCCAACAAGTCCACACTGGCACTCAGACCCATCCCCATCCCCATCCCCATCCCCATCCCCCTAATCTACACATCCCTGAACGCTATGGGCAATTTAGCTTGCCAATGCACCCAACATGCACATTTTAGGAAACCTATGCAGAATGTGCAAACTCCACACAGACAGTTGCCCAAGGGTGGAATTGAACCTGTGTCCTTGGTGCTGTGAGGCAGCAGTGCTAACCACTGAGCCACCATGCCACCCAGACAGCAAATTCCCTTTCTTTTTGGCTTATGCTCTCAAATGTAGTCAGCAGGATTTGAACCTGTACAGGAGTACTCCAATAGATTTCAAGCCTATCACCTTAACCACTCAGCCACGACTACCACAGCACTAATCAGAACAATTTTTGAAACCACATCAGATCATCCAATACCTCTTTTCTGTCTTCTCGTGGATGGCTCTACCCTCACCTGGGTCTGTTGCTATCAATCCAGTTGTAGCCAGAGATGGCTATTTTCCCACCCTTTACGCCTTTACTTCTGTGACTCCCTAAGATTTTTTGGCCCCTTCCCAAGTCCTATTCACACACCTCAGGAGACTGGCCCTAGAGCATGGAGGGAAGGGGTTGGAGAGAGAGATGATGAGACCATAAGAAACAAGAACAGAAATGGGCTGTTCGGCCCCTCAATTCTGCTCTGCCATAAAGAAGGGTCATGACTGATCCCACACACCTCACGTCCAATTTCCTGTTCTTTCCCCACCACTTCAATTTCTCTACTGATCAAGAATCTGTCTGTCTAAATAAACACAATTTTTACTGTGGAGAAAGATCTGGAGGCTAGCGAACTTAGGGAAATAAATATTGATGTTCTGAAAACTGTTCACATGATAGAAGAGGAGGTGCTGGAGGTATTAGAAAAGGTAAATGGGGGTACATATCTGGGACCTGATCTAGTGTATCCCAGGACATTCTGGAAAGTTAGAGAAGAAATTGTGGGGCCCTAGCAGAAATATTTGTGTCATCTGTAAGCGGTGAGGTGATGGTTAATGTTGTGTCTTTATCTAAGAAAAGCTGAAAGGAGAAGCCTAGAAACTATAAACCTGTGAGTCTGACATCACTAGTCGGTAAGTTGTTGGAGGTGATTCTGAAAGATAAGATTTACATGCCTTTGGGAGAGGCAAAGAATGATTAGAGATGGTCAGCATGGATTTTTGTGAGGGAAATCATGTCTTACAAACTTGATTAAGTTTTTTTTTCTGGAAGTAACCAAAAAGATTGATGAGGAAGAAATGGTAGATGTTGTTTACTTGGACTTTAGTAAAGCCTTTGATAAGGTTCCGCATTGTAGACTAATTAGTAACATTAAATCATATGGGATTCAAGCATGTCAACTGGATAGAAAATTGTCTTAATGGAAGGAGGCAGAGCATAGTGGTGCAGGGTTGTTTTTTGGACTGGAGGCCTATGACCAGTGGTGTTCCACAGGAATTGGTACTGGGTCCACTGTTGTTTGTCATTTATATAAATGATTGAGATGGGAATATCAGAGGCCTGGTTAGTAAGTTTGTGGATGATACCAAAACTGGAGGTCTCGTGGACAGTCAAGAAGTTTATCTAATATTACAAAGAGGTCTTAATGAACTAGGTCTATGGGCTGAGGAGTGGCAGATGGAGTTTAATTTGGATAAATTTGAGGTATTGCATTTTGGGAAAACAATCAAGGGCAGGGTTTACACAGTTAGTGGGAGGGAGCTGGGTAGTGGGGAAGAACAGAGAGAATCGGGGGTTCAGGTACATAATTCTTTGGAATTTATGTCACGGGTAGACAGGATGGCTAAGAAGGCATTTAATACACTTTCCTTCATTGCTCAGGCCTTTGAGTATAGGAGTTGGCATGTCATTTTGAGGTTGTACAGGATGCTGGTGAGGCCTCTTCTGGAAGACTGTGTGCAGTTCTGGTTGCCCTGCTGTAGGAAGGATGTCATTAAACTGGACAGTGTTCAGAGAAGATATACCAGAATGTTATTGCGAATGGAGGGTTAGAGTTAGAAAACTAGTCTGGGATGTTTCTCACTAGAGCAAAGGAGTTTGAAGGGTGAAGTTTATAAAATCACGAAGGGCACAGATAAGGTGAATAGCAAAGGTGTTTTCCTTAAGATGGGGAATTCAAAACTAAAGGGCATAATTTTAAGGTGAGAGGAAAAAGATTTAAAAATGGGCAACCTTTTTTACACAGAGAGTAGTTAGTGTGTGGAACGAACTGCCAGAGGAAGAGGTGGATGCAGCTACAAGTACAATATTTAAAAGACATCTGGATAAATGCATGAACAGGAAATGTTGGAAGGATATGGGCCAAATGCAGGCAGGTGGGATTAGTTTAGCTTGGGAACATTTTCGGCGTGAATGAGTTGGACCAAAGGGTTTGTTACCATGCTGTATGGTTCTATGATTCTATGACTCCCAGTCACAAAAGCACTATGCCATGTTCCACATAGATGCTGTGACATCCAGTCGCATCACCATCAACTCATGCAATCCACGCTCCGTCTCTGATTTGTTATGTTGCTCAACTGAAATCCGACACTGGATGAGCATAATATTTGTCCAGCCAATCAATAGGTCAACAAAACTTCCCATGAAACTTTGCTTTTGCTTAAGATTAAAATTTTAGAATCACTGCCATATCAATTCTGTGGAAGAGATTTGGATTTTCTTCCTGACGGGATGTTTTCACTCCCAATATTTCTTTTAGGATTTGTATTATCTTTCAAAAACCACATTGTGCCAAATACAACTGTCCAGTCAAAGATGAATCACAGCTATCAGTGAGAGCTGGAAGGCAGGACAGTGCAATGTAAACTTCATGAACTCCCTTGTAAACAAAAGGTCTGAACCCAGGCGGCTGCACACACAATGTGAAAATTGTGATATCTTTTGACAGCTCACAGCTCAGTTCCTGTTCTTGATTTTTTTTGTGAGTTATTTCAGGAATGTTGCTTGGTTAATATCCCATTGTGTCTGGCCAGGCCATGGGCACATGAAGGAATCTCTATCACAGAACCAGCCAGAGCTCACCCTCCTGTAATATAAGAGCAGGAGAAGGGATAGTCTTCCTCAAATGCCCCAATTCACTGAAGAAGACAAAGACATCCCGAAGTGCAGAGAGATTACAGTCATGCACAATTTAAGAGAATTTAATACCCTCCTCCTTATTCAGCTTAATGGAGCAGGGCATTAAGTTGAGCAGGAGCATAGCTGAAAGAGACCTTACTGCCTTCCCGTTACCAGCTGAGGCCCACTGATAGCCAGCCTGTGCCCTTGGAGCCAAGCTCCACTCCCCACCCTCCAGGTCTCCCTGGAAAACACCCTACAAAGACTTCTCCTGCCATTACTCACTCATGCATGGGATCCTGCAATGATTCGGTGCCTTGAGGTGGGTGCCATACAGATAGACACTGCCTATCTGTAACCATTTTAACCCTAACACTAAGCCTAACCACCTTAACTCTAACCATAATACTAACCCTAACTCTAAACTTAATGCCAACCCCAACCCTAACCCTATTCCTAGCCCTACCCTAAAGCTAATGCTAACATTAAACCTAACCTTAACCTTAACTGGCAACACCCACTCCCTAACTCTAACTGCCTTCACTCTAACCTTAATGCTAACCCAAATCCTAACCCTAGCCCTAACCACTTTAACCATAGCTGTAACCCTAATGCTAACCCTAACCCTAATGTTAATGCTAACCCTAACCCAATGACAGGTGACACTGCCATTCAGTAGAGCTGCTGGCCTCTGATTGTTCAACAGTTCTCAGTGGGCAGGACCTCTACCTACAAGATCCTAGATTCCAGAGATTGCCCAACACTGTCCAGTTAATAACACCAACAGCACATAATTCAGAGATAACACAGTGTGGAGCTGGAGGAACACAGCAGACCAGGCAGCATCAGAGGAGCAGGAAAGTTGATGTTTTGGGTCAGGTTTGGGGCATTTCTGAAGAAGATCCCAACCCGAAAAATCAACTTTCCTGCTCCTCTGATGCTGCCTGGCCTGTTGTGGTCCTCCAGCTCCACACTGCGTTATCTCTGACTCCCAGCATCTGCAATTCTTACTATCTCTGACATAATTCAATGAGCCTTCTTTAATGAAGTTTACGTAAGGCTCCTGTCAGCTCTGCAGACACTGGCCAATACTTCTATTGCTTCCGTTTAAAAATTGAAATGTAGCAAGTCACAAAGGATCATTCAAAAATGCCTTCCAAATTCATGACCTCGATCACCCAGAAGTCAAGGCTAGCAATGCATGGGAACACCATCTTCTGTAAGGTCCCCTCCAAGATCTACCATCCTGACTTGGAACTATATTGCTATATCCTCACTGGTTTTTGGGGTCAAGATCAACTGCCTCACAGCACTGTGGGTGTTCCTGCAACCATCAAGATCTCCAGTTAATGACCTGTGAGATCCACTCCCTCAACATCAGCAAACCAAGAAGGCAACTCACAACAACATTCTTAAGAGTAATTAGGGAAAGGCCATAAAAGCCAACATAGCCAGAAATGCTAAACATGAAAGTCTCCTTTCTCTTAAGGGGCGGGTCTGTTTGCGACACATGGCAGGTTTCAGATAACACCCTTTTTAGTGAACCAGAAATGACACACATAGTGGGTTAAATGTTCACAGTGGAGCTGGAAAACAACAGTCTGTCATTGGATCAGAAACCCACCTCTGATAGGTTTAGATTTTCATGGGGTGAGTCCTTAATTGATGTGGGCCGAGGGAGGGAGGAGGTCAGATGAAATATGGGGCTGATTTTGAACCCACAACAGCCATTATTAAGGTTGCTGGATGTCCTGAGGGAGAAATGTATGGTTTCTTCCAAACTTTTACACAGCACCAGAGGGAAATGAGACATTGTATGGTAGACAGAGACATGGTACCCAAGGCAGATCTGCCTTCTCTCCATTGATGATGACCTGGATCTAATGCCGAAAGCTGTGCGGGTAAGAGGGCAATCTTTTTCCCAGAGGGTGGCAGGAGAAGGCCACACTATCATGCAGGAGGACCACCTCCCTGCTCAACAACATCTTTCAGCTATACCTTCTCCTTATCTCTTCCAGATCCTCCCTCAATTAGCTGTACCTCACGGGGATCTCACTGTCTTCAAATCCACAGCTCACTGGAGTGCCGTGTTATGCAGAGTGCAGCACACCACAATATGCGCCCGGTCTTACAGGAGGGTATATGATGAAACTAACAATGGTGGTCGAGCCATTAGACTTGCACCTTCAGAAGCAGGATGCAAATGGCCCACTCAAGCAGATTCTGAGCAGATGGCACTGGTTGTAACGTCTTTGTATTTTTGTCTGTGGT